CATGTGAAATATGCAATACAGGTGTGGCAGCAGTGGCTAAGGAGAGATCTCACCGCCTTTGAGATACCCCAACGCCGGGAAACGCAGAACATCAAGGGTCCGTATAATTTGCCGAATGAACGAAGGCTTCAAGTGCTCGGGGTCTTCAGCGGACAATATCGGCGATTGTGCGGGGACCTCATTTTGATTTACCAAATTTTGTGAGATCCCAACCACACGTGCCGCTACTTGCTAGAGCTCAGGCACAACAGCAATTTAAGAGGTCACCATCTCAAATTGGCAGAGCAGTACAGTCGCTTGAAATGCCGTCGGAATTTCTTTTCCGTACGTGTATGCAGAACGTGGAATGACTTACCAGAATATGTCTTATGTGCTCCCACGCTGGCAGTTCAAATCCAGGGTTGACGGTGCATTTATTTCGTTGCACGATCTTACATGACCCATTACCTAAGAATAAACATAAGTGTTTCTAAGCGATTTCACTGGCTGTCACAGCACAGATTTCGTTCCACATTTTCACCTCCTCTATGTGAACACCAGAAAAAGACATGATTTTTACCAACATCCCAGTTGCCGTCATTTCTCATGGATTTACTTTGGATGTACAGTCTATGCTACGTATACTTCAGTGAGTTCAGTGTTTAAACGCTGTTTTGCTAAAAAAGCACTTATATTTTATATTTGCATCATAACTATCCTAAGGGACCTGTTAAACATTAGCTTTTTACCCATATAAAACCATTGCTCCATCCCATCTGAACGTACATTCTTTGCTATAGGCCAGCGGGCTCGCAATCAATTCATAGCGTATGGCTTTCTTAGTTATTGCCTAGGTTAGCCCGTACCCGAATAAGTTATTTATCATCATCATCATCATCATCATTACACGTTAGCTGGAGGTGGAAAACACCTCAGCTATTGTGCCGCAATACAAAAGGCAAGAAAAGAAAAAACAACAAACAGTGGCACGCCCGCTGAGTCCCCAGTAACGGATGGACATCGTTCCGGAGAGCTAACAGCTGGCTGCCGTAAAAGAAAGTCATATTATGCCTAACGATTGAGATCGTGATTGGAGGGGGATGCTAAACAGGAGGGGGATGGACAAAGGAACTCACAACACAAACGCCATTGGGGCCGGCTCCTAGCCATATCAGCAAGTGTGTCCAGCCAAACGTGTTCACCGTCCTTAGGACCCCAGCCAGGCAGTCGGGATGCACCAACCGACGCCAACTTCGAAGTGAGGGTTTTCATTTCTCGCGACCAAGTCATCACTTGGCCTCCCCTCCTCCTCTTCCAACCGCACCCACAACGCGCAAACAATGCACGTCGTGGGAGTCGGTGTGCTGGCATGCGCAAGACGTGGCCCAGCCATTGGAGCCTGGTGCGTGATATAATCGTGCTGAGCGGTTCACTCGCTCTTCCTGCACCAAATACGCGACGTCGAACACGCTCATTGCTCACGCGGTGCTCCCACCAGACATGAGCTAAGCTGCGAAGGCAGCGATGATCGAACGTGACGAGTCTCTTCATGTCTGTCGACCTGATGGGCCAGGTTTCACAGCCATATAGGAGAGTTGAACGGACGGCTGCGTTGTAAACTCTGCCCTTGAGGGCGAGAGTAATGTCGCGTCTGCGCCACAGGTGGCGGAGATTGGCAAAAGCACCTCGAGCTTTTGCTATACGGTTCGTAACCTCATCTTCAATCCCACGGGTGCTAATATAGCTGCCCAGGTACTTGAATTCCTGAACGACTTCTAGCAGATCACCACCAAGCGTTAGCGCAGGATTGGGTCCCTGCCAATCTTGGAGAAGTACTTTGCATTTTGATGGAGCAAAGCATAGCCCAAAACGACTGACAGCCAGTGCTAATCGGTTCAGTGCTGTTTGGCATGTTTGGGAGCCGTCACAGATTAGGGCAATATCGTCTGCATACTCCAAGTCAAGAAGTCGCTCACCAGGGAGTAGCTCCACACCTTCTAGGTCGTGTCCAGCGAACGCTGTTTCCATGACTTCATCAATAGCGAAGTTGAAGAGGAAAGGTGACAGCGGGCATCCTTGTCTCACACCGCTGGTGATACTGAAGGGTGGCGAGAGTTTGCCATAAACCCTCACCCTGCCCGAACTATGTGCGTACAGCGCTTTGATAATGTTTACATATTTATCAGGCACACCTTTCCTCAACAGACAGTCCCAAAGGGCACATCGATCGACTGAGTCGAAGGCACCTTTTATGTCAAGAAACACGACAACGGTGGGTCGCCAATAAACATGGCGGTGCTCCAACACTTGACGCAATGTGAAGATGTGGTCGATGCAGCCCCGACCTCGACGAAATCCGGCTTGCTCTTCACGAATTTGGCTTTCACGAGTGCCAGTCAGTCTGTGGAGAATGAGAGAGGCAAGCAATTTAGAGGCAATCGAAATCAGACTGATCCCTCTATGATTGCCACATACCAAACGGGAGCCTCCCTTGAAAATTGGGACAATGACGGAGCGGTTCCAGTCTGTCGGGACTGTCTCCTGCTCCCAAAGTTTTACTAGCAACTCGTGTAGATCACCTATTAGAGCAGGTCCACCGAACTTGAAGAGGGCTGGAGGAATAGTATCTGCTCCTGCGGCCTTATGCAATTTCAACAGCCTGATCTCACGTTCGACTTCAGCGCGTGAGGGCGGATCCAGGGAGACGGCCCAAGGAGAAGGGCGTTCAATGCCCGAAGAAAGTGATAACTCAGGTTGGTTAAATTGCATAGCAAAGTGTTCAGCCCAACGCTCCAAGCGTTTTGACAGGCTGTGGATCATCTGCCCACTCTCGTCGCGTATGGTCTCGCTAACACCAGGTCTCCTGCTGCCTGTTGCCCGTATCAGACGGTATAACTTACGATGATTACCAATGGCAGCGGCTGTTTCCATCTCAGATGCACGATGAGACCACCAGGTTTCGCGGTCCTTCTTTAGGCTAGCACGTAGTTTCGCCCTGAGATTTTTGCGAGATTCATTGTATTCGCTTCCAGCCGGAATACGTCGGCGAGCATCCATAAGTTCCAGAGACTGTGTAGAGACCCAATGTCCGGTTTGGCAATTTGTTTTGCCACATGAAGACATGCCTGCTAATAGCAACGCTTGACGAGTGTGCGACCAGTGATCTTCAACGGTGTTTAGTGGGCGCTTACTCAGCCCAGATGTCAGCGCATCTTGGTATACATTCAGAACATCTGGCTTCGCCAGCTGGCTAGTGTCAATCCGTTCACATCGACGTTGCGGACGTCCACCGAAGCGCATCAGGAGGTCGGCACAGACAAGTGCGTGGTCAGAGTCCACGCTCGTGCTCCAAATCGAGCGACAGTTTTGGACACAGCCTCTCCAGCGGTAACTGATCGCGATATGATCGATTTGCGTCCATGACTGGCCCGAGGCTGGTGGCCGCCAAGTCACACTTCTGCGGGTGCTGTGTCGAAAATTAGTGCTCGCGAGAAACAGGCGAGCATCTTCACACAGCTGGAGCAATCGCTCACCATTATCATTACGGGAGCCTACACCATGTTGGCCGCCCAGATGAAGCTCATCAGAGGACAATTTTCCGACTTGGGCGTTTAGATCGCCAGCCAGCACCACAGTATCCATGCTTCTTCTGTAACGAAGGAGCTCGTGAAGTTGCTGGTAGAAATCATCTTTTACCGAATCAGTGCTACAGTTTGTAGGGGCGTAGGCCGCAATGACAAACAGGCACCGTTTGTCCCCGCGCGACTTCGAAGCACGGAACGAACCAGCTAATCTAACGGCGCACATCCTACTGTTTACTGGGATCCAATCAAGCAGGGCAGCTTCAGCCCGGGGACTCAAAACAATGCCGACGCCGGCTTGACCGGCATTTGAAGCTGCATCATCGCCAGATAGGCGCAATGAGAATGTGCCGCCAGTGTCGCATGTGGGGGATCTCAGGGTAAGCACGGAGCTCGAATCTTGCAGGCGGGTTTCTGATAAACAGCAAATATCGATCGATAGGGTCTCTAGTGTGCGGGCAAGTGCTGCCTGTTGGCCAATCTGCAGCAAAGTGTGCACGTTGAGGCATGCCAATCTTAGCGAGACACGAGGACTCCAAAGGGAAACGGATGAACTGACGTTGTCCGCTTGGTTGAACATGGACTTATCGACTGGATTGGAGCGAGGCCCTGCGATTGTGTGTGATTTGAAATTAGAAGACAAGCGACTATTGAAGTAAGCTGGGGGAGGGCCAAGAATTGGGGGATTGAAAATGGGGGGGATATAAGTAAAGTTGGAGCGGGACAATAAGGATGCAGAAGCGCAAGAAGGGGTATAAGAAGGCCTGAGCAGTAGCATCCAAACCCCTATCCACCCTGCTCGATGCAGCAGATAGGGCGCCGTTTATTATCCTTTGCGACGGCCAGAGCATCAAGAAATTGTTGTAGGAAAGGTTCATTGTATTGCGTGGGCAGAATACTGTCAGGTTGCCCAGGCCTAGACAGGAGAACGATTAGGGTTCTCAACCAAAGCCTTTGGTTCAAAAACCTTACCGCAAGGCAGCGGGTTTTGGCAATGGACTACAGAGCCCGTTTTATGAAATGAGGAGCCATCCCCATTCCAACCCCCAACCTGGAGGACCAGGAGGCTGAGTTTGTCTGGCCTCTAACCATTGACCAATCTGGTATGAGTGGCTCTGAAGGTACAAAAAAGCACCACCCAGCATAGCTCAATGGATCTCTGAGGCACGCAAACCATCGCACCACGGTAAGGTCCAGCCTCATTGCGATGGATAAGTTATTTATAATAAGTCACCAATAATAATAAGTTTAGAATAAGTTATTTATATGTACCGAAATAAAAGTCATGGATTCCTCAGTTTTGCCCGATTAATGGATGCCCCGTTCTTGCGGAACAACTGCAGCTAATGTGTGAAGTTAGGGCTAAATTGAAACGTAGCATAAGAGCGGAGAACTCATCATGACTACAGTCTGCTTGCTACCTTGACAAGTATGTCTCACTTTCTCCGAGGCGCTCACAAAAGAATGCAGAGGAGTTTTTCGACTCGGTTTAGAAGAGCTGGAGAAGCGCCAGATGGAACTGGACAGCTTCTGGGAGTGCGTCAATCGGGAAAAGAAAGTGAATGGCGATCGGAGCGTTGAACAGATAAACGGCTTCAAATCTTACCAACTGGAGGTGAGTGAGCCATAATCACGTGAAAACTTTTACCTCATTTAACAGCGTATTCGAAGTGACTATGCCTTTCTCGCTCTACTAAGTGAAGGAGAAGCCGAGTTAGAGCGTAAAGTGATCAACATTCGCGGATGCAAGGATCTCATTGCGTATCGGCACTTAGGAATTTTAGCTTCCTATATTGTAAAGCCAAAAAATATTACTCTCCAGCATCCGCGGATGAGAAAAACATGTAGGGATATGACACTAAGCGCGTCAATAGGATAATAATAATTATATATATATATATATGTATATATATATATATATGGTTGGCGGCATCCGGTTTCGGATTTGCCTGTCACTGTGGCAAGCCACAGGACGCCTGCGCCTACAGAGGACCATGGATGGCTTGCGCTGCACCACCCACAGCTCCAACCACACACCCCATATCCAGTGTAAACCCGAAGGAATAAGACCGGGAGGCATGCGGATGGGAACCACGTTTCATCAACGGAGCCGGCCCACACTCCCTCACAGGCAAACACAAGCACACTGTATTTGGGAATCAAGCGCACACAAGGCGGTGGCTGGACCGTAGTCCGCTCCACAATGACTGCATGGAACCACTCTTCGAGCCTAACACGGCCACAAGGACCGTGCACCCCGTCCCCTCCAGCAACGACCAACTGTCTCCTGGAGCCAGTATGGACGAGGTAGTGGGTAATAGACAGGTAGGCACCTTGTCAACATGCACATCAAGCGCATCCACACCGGGGATATCAAACAACAACCAAACACTTGAGAGAGAGGGAGAAAGAAAAAGAGAAATACTCGATTAATGCATAAGGAAACGGTGATATAAACCTTAATTAAATAGCATATGTAATAAGTTGTTTACAAACAAATCCTAGCTAAGTGCACGAGGTCAGGAAATATAGTTCACGGAATGCCACGAACACAAATATGCTACGGAGATCGAATACAATTGGCTTAGGCGAGGTGTGCAAGTTAATGGAATATAGTACTGGTAGACATTTATATGAGAAAGAAAAGCATTAAGGTAAAAACTGTAAACCCACCACCTGAAATAAAGAGACTTAGCATGCAAGCACGCGGTTAGTAAATCGAATTCAGCGTGCCTACAAACGCTGCGCCGGCTCGCCGTAATTCTCTGCAGGACCCGTCGTCGCTTCTCTAGTGGCCCCAAATGGCACAGCTCATGGCCCATTTGACATTTATATGAGAAAGAAAGGCATTAGGAGAGAATCGCAAACCCACCACCTGAAATAAAGAGACTTAGCATGCAAGCATGCGGTTAGTAAATCGAATTCAGCGTGCCTACAAACGCTGAGCAGGTGCTGCATACGTTCACTGCTGGACCCGTCGGCGCTTCGGCAGTGGTCCCGAGTGACCTCTCTCATGGCTCACTAGGCCTGCCTGACTAAGGCACTCGCGACCGCATGTTCTACAGCACCATGCGCTCGATGTCGATGGAGTACAATTCATCGGTGCTTGCCGCTTCCGCAACTGCCGCTTCTTCTCTGCATGCATGAGGGCTTTCTCCCGCACTTCAGCAACTGCCTTCGTGATTAGATCGCGCCATGAACCACGATCAACCGCCTTCGATTCCCATGATCTGCAATCAAGATTAGAACGTGTGAGGCTCACTTTAATCATGTCCTGGTAACGTAACTTTGGTTTCCCCACGTGCCGCTTCCCTATACTCAGCTGACCGTATAAAAGTTGTTTCGGTATTCGCGTCGAATCCATACGGCTCACATGACCGAGCCATCTCAGGTGTCGCAGTAAAAGTATGCAGTCCACTGCATACATCCCACTTCGGCGCAACACTTCCGTGTCTGCAACTCTGGCGCCCCAACCGATCCGCAAAATACGTCGCAGACACTGCTGATGGAACCGCTCGAGATATCGCACATCCCGACGGTACATCGTCCACGTTTCACTGCCGTATAGAAGAACGGACAGTACCATGGATTTGTACACCATCAGCTTCGTGCCAATGCTAAGCTGATGGTTGTTCCACACTCGGTACTCAAGCTTACCGAATGCCGCTGCTGCCTTCGACACGCGATTACGCAACTCAACGTGTAGCTGTTGATCAGTCGATATCACACTCCCAAGGTAGCAGAAGCGGGAGGTGGTTTCCAATACTTCAGCACCAATGCTGATTTGCGGCAATATTGAAGATTGCACCTCCGGTGAAGGCTGAAAGAGACAGACAGTTTTGCTTGTGTTGATGGTGAGCCCGAATTTGGCCGCTGTCGAAGCCAGAGCACTAGTCATGTGCTGCAACTCATCCGCGCTGTGTGAAAACAACGCACAGTCGTCAGCAAACAGCAACATACGGATAGTTGTCTCACAGACTAGAGTTCTCGCACCGAAACGACGGATGTTCAGCAACCCACCATCAATACGGTGCTCCACACGAACACCGTAAGCACAAGCCGCATCAAAAGCACAAGACAACATTGCATGAAGATAGATATTAAACAGGGCAGGAGCTAACACACAGCCTTGCTTCACACCAGAGACAACTGCAAAGTCATCAGAGGTCTCTCCACTCAGCTGCACCCTCGCTCGCATACCACTGTGCAGACATTCAATTAAACTTACAAACTTACGCGGGCAACCAAACTTACCCAACACCAGCCACAGTGCCTCGCGGTTCACCGTATCAAATGCCTTGGTGAAATCAACAAAAAGCGAGTACAAAGGCTGGTGTCGTTCTCTGCACTTCTCTTGCAACTGACGAGCCGCAAACACCATATCTATAGTGCTGCGACCCGAACGGAATCCACATTGCTCTTCCGCCACCTTTGGTTCCACAATCTGACTCACGAGGCGATTGAGCAGGATTCGGGCAATCACCTTGCCCACACAACTCAGCAAGTTGATGCCACGATAATTCGTGCAACATTGCTTGCTCCCTTTGCCCTTGTACAGTGGTAGCACAAGGGCATCCTTCAGCTCAGAAGGCACTTCCTCCTCAATCCACACGCGTTGCACCAAGTGGTGCAGCGCAGACAACAACGCGGGTCCACCGTGTTTCAATACTTCAGGTGGGATCCCGTCACCTCCGGCACATTTGCCGTTTCGCAGCTGAGCAAGTGCTCTCTGCGTCTCATCCAGTGTCGGCGTATCCGCCAGATCCGCCTTCACATCGTGCTGCTTCAGGTCATTCAATGTAGGCCAGTCGATCTCTGAACGGTTGTTCAAGAGACAGTCAAAGTGTTTCCGCCAGACCTGCATTATGTCTGCAGTCTGGGTGCAGGTAGCGCCTGAACTACCATCGATCAGTGTCCTCAGCGGCTCCAATCTCGGTCCATACACCGCCTTCAAGGTGTCAAAGAATTCCTTGTGTTGACGGCGTTCGGCGTAGCATTCCATCTGCTTCGCCTTCTCCGTCCACCATGCATTTTTAATGCGACGGAGCTCTCGGGTCAGTCGCCGTCGAAGTTTGCGAAACTGACTACTCTTCCCCAAGTCACTGGGATCTGCCACATGTGCAGCAAATGCTGCATTCTTCTCTGACACCAATGCGTCAATCGTCACATTGTTGTCATCAAACCAATCAGGCCGCTTACAGTTTGCGCGCCCGATGGTCTCCTCCGCAGCAGCTGTCACGTGGTCGCGAATGTGGTGCCACAGGTCGCCCACTGTGGCTATACAGTCCACATCACCACACAGGCGTGCAGCCATCGCCTTCTCCAGCTCAGTACGTTTCGCCACAGTGCCGAGGGAGAGAATGTTAAGTTTACGCCGATTCACGGCGGGAGTGCAATACATCGATTTACGAAAATATATGTACAGTTTGGTCCGAACCAATTTGTGATCAGTGCCACACTCAGCTCCACGCAGTACACGTGTCATGCGCACTTCACGCATATCACGCTGACGTACGATGACATAGTCGAGCAGGTGAGCGTGACCACTCCGTGGGTGCGTCCAAGTTGCTATATCACTCGCACTCAGTGCAAACCGAGTGTTCGTGATCGTCAGGCCGTGAGTGGCACACAGTGAGAGCAGCCTGTCACCGTTCGCATTCGCTGAACCAATGCCATGCGCACCGATAACATCTGTCCACGCTGATGCATCACGCCCAACGCGCGCGTTGAAATCACCCAGCAGAAATAGTCGGTCGCTCTTCGGCACAGACCGTATCACGGAGGATAGCTCAGTGTAGAACTGATCACGCGTGTCATCAGGATAACACATGGTCGGACCGTACGTGCTTATAAAAGTAGCAAACTTACCTCTTCCGAGTCGCAGGCGAACAGTCATCAGCCGCGCGCTGATGCCCGTTGGCTCACCCACCAGCTGGCCATTCAGGCGGTCGGATATTGCAAATCCGACCCCATGTTCACGTGGTGCTGAGGCGGCGTTCCCCACCCAGTAGAATGTGTAGCCAGCACCTGCTTCATGTAACTTACCTTGCTCAGCGAGCCGAGTTTCACTGAGCGCCGCAATATCGATGTGGTAGCGCGCCAGCTCCATTGCGACCAGTGCAGTGCGTCGCTCCGGGCGCTCGCTCGAGTTTCGGTCCAGTAGTGTGCGCACGTTCCAGCACCCGATGCTGAGTGCTTTGCGCGCAGGCATACGATTGCATTGGTGGGCAATCGCACGCGAGGTGGTCGTTGTGCTTCGGAGGTTTGCTTGAGGGACTCCACCCGGAGCCTTTGGCTCAATAGCCTGACCCACAAGGCAGTGGGTGGTTTGGAGGTTTGCTTGAGGGACTCCACCCGGAGCCTTTGGCTCAATAGCCTGACCCACAAGGCAGTGGGTGGTTTGGAGGTTTGCTTGAGGGACTCCGCCCGGAGCCTTTGGCTCAATAGCCTGACCCACAAGGCAGTGGAGAGCAGATCCAGCTCGGGAATGTGATTGCAGAGACAGATGGGGATCTGCTTGACGGCCGTCACACGCAGCCTTTGAGGTTCTGGAACAGTTATCATATGTTTTGCGACCGTAATTGGATACGCACCTGCGACCACGGCCAGACGCAG